CCAGTATAACAAACATGTAGTCAATAATAATATAATAATGATTTTTAGTCAAGCTCCTACCATATAAGAGAAAATAATAATATTATTTCTAACATAATATTGCAAACAATTGGTGGGAAATTTGTCCTACTCGTATTTTATCAGTATAATTAGAAGTAAAAATTATTGTAGTGACTGTCAAGTGAAATGAAAAATACTTTTATATGTTATATAAAAAGAAAAATAGAAGAAAATCATATGGAAATAAAATTTAAATTAAAAGGAAGTGATCTATGTACTTGATAATACACTAGCATATTTTTGATATGTTCCATTATGGTTTTTATTATGAAGTGATTTTATTCGTTTATAGTACTGTACAAAATGTTAGAAATTCGACTATGTGTTACAATCTTCATTGCACTTGTTAAACTGAACGTTTTTATAGATAAAAACAAGGCCGTTGTTGTTAACGGTTTATATGAGAGCGGGTTGAATTGCAAATCCAAAACGAATTTTACCGATTATCTTATTTTAAAGAATGAGTCAAATGTATTACAACAATTTCCGAATTTCTATACTCGTATATTGACCTTTTAGCAATCAGTTTAAAGGGCAAAATTTAGTATAAATACTTAAATAATTCAATTTATTTATCAGTTCAACAATTAGTTTCCAACAGCAGAGTAATCTTATCCATTGTATAATATTTGAGTATAGTTTTAAAATCAAAAAATTTTATAATGAAACTACTAAGCATTGGTGGATTAGCTTTTGTACTTGTTGGATTGGCTTCAGCAGGACATCATCATGGTGGTGGTGGTGATGGTGGTCATGGTGGTTCTGTTAGTTATAGCGTTGTAACAAAGCACGACGATTCACATGGAGACGGTGGTCATGGCGGTCATGGTGGTCATGATGGCCATCATGAACATAGCAGTTATGTTATAACTTCGCATGGTGGAGGACATGACGGCGGACATGGTGGATATGATTTTGGACATGGTGGTCATGATGGCGGTCACGATGGAGGACACCATGGCGGTCACGAAGCTCACCATTATCCTAAATATGAGTTCAGTTATGGTGTTGAAGATAAACATCATGGAGATAAAAAAAGTCAATGGGAACATCGTGATGGTGGCCATGTGAAAGGTAATGAAGTACATTTGTATATAATTTTATTAACATATTCACATAATATGATTATTTACATTGTTTTTATAGGTAGTTACTCACTTAAGGAAGCTGATGGCACTACTCGTGTTGTAGAATACACTGCTGATAAACACAGTGGATTCAATGCTAAGGTCCATAAAATCGGACATGCCCACGGTGGTCATGATGGAGGTCACGATCATGGTCACGGACATGGTCATGGTCATGGACATGGTGGTCATGGAAGCAGTTACGTTAATGTTAAACAACATCATTAAATGCGAAAGAATTTCATATTGAAAAACTATAGAATATATATCAGTGCAAACTGTTAAAATAGTTGTTTAATATGTAAATAATAAATACGAGTATTCATATAGGAATAAAAATGTTTTACTTTGAAATGGAAATTGCTTTCGAATAAATGGATTACATCTGTATATCATTTACTAAGTACCCAATAATTACAAAACTTTTAAGAGAAGGGTGAAAAATAGCTATTTGGTTCTTTATTTTTTTAAAGTATTAGTCAATTTATTAGTCAATGTAATTATAGATTTGTTGTAAATTCGTTCCAAATTAAAACAAAACTTCACTAATTTAACGAGAATAAACTATGAAGAAGTTACCAATATATTAATTTAGATTATTTATCTTATTTAACGTCTCCGTATTAGGAAGTATTTGAAACACGCTCAAATATTTTAAACATTATATGTTTTTAGAAAATAAATTATAAATATTTTGTAGAAATTTTAAGAAAATAGCTTGTTTGCATTTACATTTTGAGTCTGTTTGTTTTGAAATCGTCTTTGTTGTATTAAATTTGAAGATCAGTCAATAAATTATTTATGCAATAATATTTTTGTGAAGCAATATAAGCATCAGCATTGTACGATTCCTTTATATAATTACTTCACATAACAGTTCATATGTTAGCATAAGTAGAGAACTCTCTTGTTAAGATTATGGAATCAAATTAGTATAAAATATAGAGAACATAAAATTCTCAAAAGTATTCCATTAAACACTTTTGACAAATTATTTTTTGTGCACATATTATATACAATCTCTACTTCATATTTTATATCTGAAACAAATATACTCCATTTATTATTAAAATATGTTAATGCAACATATGCTACAAATATAGTTTGGAGTATGAAAAGATATCAAGCATTTTTATATTCTAAGAGAAAATGATCGCATCTTACGGTAAACTAAATATTGTCAATATAGTTCTGGAATTCTTTGAAAATAATATTTGAAAATTATTATATATAATTTTATATTACAAATAATATATAACTCTACTTGTATGATAGACCTAAACTGCAACATTTCTGTATAGGGTGGTGATTCTTAACTTTCGTGGCTGTCATTATCCTAGTAGCAATTATAGCCCACCATTAATGGGTTAAAATTTTTATCTCTTACAAACAATGATCATATTCGTTTATGTAGTAATATTGCGTTAGGTGTTATTCTGCGGTAATTGAATTAGATACACAAATGAATGTTTTATAACATTCAATGCAGAATGTTTTTGGAAAGTTTCTTTGCATTTGTTCAAAAAACAGCCAAGATAACGCTGGATAGCGATCAAGCGATCTATAGTCTACAAGCACTTAGAATTTTTGCAGTTCTAAGGCGAGTTAAATGTTAATTGGTAATAATGTGGATTGCGTCTTACTGTATTTGTGGTAATTAATCATAAAACTGGAAAAATTGTATTGTGCTTAAAATACTTACTGCAAACCGTCAATGTTATCTAATCGGAAAGATGTTAGCATCGGTAAAAGGAAAATCATCATAAAATTTTGGGAGAAAAGGAAGTCGAATCAGGAAATTGAACGTTTGGTTGGAAGACCGCTCTGTTCAATTCATACCGTGATCAAAAATTTGAAAACTACCGGAATTATTACGTTGTGAAAGCCACTCAATATTAAATGCGGTAACTACAAGTCCACGTTTGACGGCATTGAAAATTGTACGAAATATACAGGAAAGCTTTGCAAAAAATATTTCTGTGGTTACCGCACGCAGAATTTTGAGACGGTTCTGTTTTCATAGTAGAGTAGCACGAAGGAAGCCTTACATATCTTTAATTAATCGAAAGAAGCGCATTGCTTTTGCAAATAAATAAGATATGCCGGAGGAGTTGTGGAACAAAGTGATTTTCTCCCATGAATCTAAGTTCTATGCTTTGACTTACATGGATGTAAATTAGGTTAGCGTAAGTGAGGTGATGCATACAATAAACTCAAAATACGGGTAATCTTGAGTTTGTGGAAACAACAATGGATAGAAATATTTATCTTAACATTTTGAAGCGTAATATACGATTCAGTGCTGACAAATTGGGACAAACGGATGGATTTTATTTTCAACAGGATAATGATTCTAAACAGTCAGCAGAAAGTATGCGTCTTTGGTTGCTATATAACGGCATTTTTGCAAAGAAAACCTCATAAACATTCAATTTTAACAAAACAGCATTTGATAGACATAATCCTAAATGAATGGGGCGAAATAATAACTCAGGAGACCAGTTAACTTGCAGCTTCGATGAAAAACCGTCTAGTACAAGTTCTAAAGTATTACGGTTACCCAACTAGTTACTTAGTGCTTGTAGACTTTTGATCGTCTGTTTTGCTATCCTTGACACTAAAAGCACCGTTATCTCGGCTGTAAAGTGAACATGTGCAAAGAAACTTCGTGAAAACATTGTATATTGAATGTTATGAAAATAACACTAAAGTATTTTTTCAACAATTTGAGATTTATGACTCTGAGTGTATATTTTGTATCGTAATCGCGTAGATTTAATATTAGAATAAGGTTTTACATCTTTCTACGAAGTGGTTTTTATGATTCTTATGGTTCTTATCAGTTTCTAGTGTAGTTTTTCTCATAGGTCTTTGTATGTTACAATATGTTATTCGATTATCTTGAAGCCGAAAATTGACTTTGATGAACAAGTATACAGAGATATTCGATTAGTCTTGCTTCAATTCTCAAGTAAAGTATCTGAATGGTAAATTTCTAATTCCATTTGTATATTATCATTTATATAGCAAGAAAATATAATTAGAATACTCGTATCATTAAGTTAGGTTAGTCATTACCGGCGATCGGTAGGGGATTCACTTAGGCCTATTTGACCATTGTGTTACAGTCCATAGAGAAAACCTGGAATTTTTGGTAAAGCTTAAAATGCTATTTAATGGGAGGTCTTATAATTCATTAAGATCCTGATGGAAGGAGCTCTTAAAGTGTTGATTCGCCGCCGTGTATGAGTTGGGCACTCAGAGTAGATTAGAGGCACTTTCATCGTCTTCCCCACAGCTGCGACAGGTATGATTGAAAGGGCGATTCAATCTTCTAGCATGACCGAGTATCACTAACTTAAAATTAATATTTTTAAGAAATAAAATATTTGAAAAAAGTGCAATAATAATAAAATAAGTGACTGAAAATAATTAGTCTAAATAAAAATATGTATCTAATCTTAGTTAATATTTTTTATAAATATAATTTTTATGATATTATACTTTGTACAAAGTTAAAATATGCAATATACAGAAGGTCATTGCCACCACCAATTTTCGAATGCATTGAATTTAGAGAAAGGTTAAGCCATGTTTACTTCACAACACAATGCGTCATGCTAACAAAAGTTACCAAATTCTGCACTTTTTTATTTTATTCGAATTGCTCTAGTGCAGTGGGAAAACACATTTTTTAAGGTATAAATAGTTTGTTACATTAGGTTAACAATCAGTTCAACAACAAACTTAACATTGAGAGGTTTATACCTTTAAAATTTTAAAAAGTGAATTTTAAAGTATTTTGAAGTTAAAATGAAGCTAATTAGTGTTTGCGGATTAATTTTTGCACTACTTAGCTTAGTTTCGGGAGGAAATCATGAACATGGTGGTGAAGGTTCCAGTTATAGTGTTGTAACTAAGCATGAGGAACCAGAACATCATCACAGCTATGGTCATGATGATCATAGCAGTTATGTTGTGATATCATATGATGGTGGGCACGAAAGTGGACATGTCGGATATGAAGGAGGTTTTGATGGAGGTTATGATGGTGGTCATGATGGTGGTGACTATGGTGGGCATGATGGTGGTCACGATGGTGGCCACGATGGTGGTCATGATAGTGGACATGATGGTGGTCATGATGATGGACATGAAGCTCATCATTATCCTAAATATGAATTTAATTATGGTGTTGAAGATAAACATCATGGAGATAAAAAGAGTCAATGGGAGCATCGTGATGGCGGTCATGTTAAAGGTAATTTTATTCAATAAATATATTAATAGAGTTTTAAGATTTGCTATTTTATACTGTTTTGACAGGTAGTTACTCATTAAAAGAAGCTGATGGTACAACTAGAATTGTGGAGTACACCGCTGATGACCATAAAGGATTTAATGCTAAGGTTCATAAAATTGGCCATGCGCACGCAGGTCACGAGGGTGGTCACGATGATGGTCAAGAACACGGTCATGGACATGGTGGTCATGGCAGCAGTTACATTAATGTGAAGCAACATCATGACAAGCATTAATTATATTCTTCAGAAGTTTACATTAAAGCTTGTGATCGACTGGTATTAAAAATGCAAAGTTATGTTTCAAATCTTTTTGTTTCATAGCAACTGCACCTGTTACTACTATTACATATTTTTATAAGCAACGAATAAATGTCTTTGGTCCAATAATTTGTTTGTATATTTATTTGCTAATTTAAGCTAAAATTGCGTTATTTATAAAATAATCAATGCTATTGTAAATGATCACCATGTATTTACGAAGCCACGTTTCTTTTCTTATTGGGGTTTTCTTACAACAAATCTATAATCATTACTACACCAGGCTGCATGCTTTCATTGTCAATGCTGCTGTTAAAGTTTTACTCAATTTGTATTTAAACTTTATTATAAGCGTATTAATTAAACTTAATTCTACTATAAAAAAGCTTTTTGTTATAAAAGCTTCATATCTCTGAGCTTTGCATTGCTTTAATATGTGTCGAAATGTATGCCAAACATTTTATATAGAAAAAGTTTGAACGTCTTTTTAAGCATCGAGCATGTTATTTATAAATATGTACAAAGAATTTGAATAATAACTGACTCTATACAATGGTAAAAATTCGTAAAAAAAAATTAATTTGTATATTAAGAAAATTTATAGGAACTCTTTAAAATTTTAAATATATATTGCTATAATGTTAATTAAGAATTCTATCAAAAATAGGTTGTACACGTATAAGATTGCCAGATTCTAAGTAAATTGCCTTTAAGATTTGTTTTTTTTTCATCATAAACATCTTAGACACAACATTTGGAGCACTAAATTTCCAAAACTTTTCGAGTATTCAAGGCCATCTAATTATTCTGATACTTAATGAATGTTTCCAATGCCGGAATCATTATAAATTTGCCCACAAAGACAATAACAAATGATAAATGATTTTCAAAACTTTAACAGAAACAGGTGAATTAATTGGTCTATGAGATCTAGTCACAATACTACTTTTGTAGAAAATACAGTCATCGAACATTCTTAATAACTCCTTGTTATCAATAATACCATAACATGTATGTTGTATTATGTTGTCTCGTTGTAATTAAAAGTAATGTTCTACACTCACATATGGTAAAAAATCATTTAACACGGCTTTTTCACGGGTGCCATTTACGGTGACATACCTATTTTTTTCCTATTTGAATAAGCATGGATCAGTTCTGAAATTCTGTAGATTTCAAATTTAGATTATGTGACCATTATAAAAAAGAATTCACACATTTTAATAATAGCGTCATCTTTTAATGTTCAGCTTGAACTTAACCTGATTAAATTTTGGGGTTGAGATCTACTATTCGTTCTTTTTTATGAGCTGTTACTCATATACAAGTAAAAAAGTCTTACTATTTTAAAAATTCGCATGGAAAAAATACATCGACTATAGATGCCTTTTAATCTAGTGCTAATATTAATTTTCCGACTTCCTTAAAACTGTAAATCACTTGCTCGTTTAGTGTATTGTTTATGGGCCCGAAAAAATGTTTGATCTAGTATAGCAATGTCTGGTAAATAAGGTGCGTTCATTAGAAATTTACAGTTTTATCTTTTAAAATAATTTTCAGCAAATATAACAAAATGTGTTCTAAATTTCTCATATTGAAGAATAATATTATTACTTCTGTTTTCCTATTCCAGTTCTATAATATTAGTGGTTGTTTTAAACGTATAAGTTCTAATCGGTAGCGGTATTAAAGGATATCAAACCATTACTTAATTGTAACTCATATTTCATATTGACGTTAATTGGTCTGAGTTATCAATTCTAATATATGCTGGTTTGTATATGATTGTGTTAGATCCATTTTCCGTTTTTATTAACTATACAACATTTTATGTGTGAAAGCATTACTTTTCCAAAAATAATTTTACAATATAATTTGTTATATTTTTCGAAATCCATATATAAAGTACTGACAGGTATGATTTCATATTGCAAAATAATTTTATGCGTGTCATGGTTATACATAATTGCATAAAAGTTAAAATCCTTTAGCTGTTAAAATATTTTAATACCACATTTTAAATTCATAGATTATATATGTCAATGAATCAGTATATTTCGCCTTACAAACCATCATTCAATCGATGGGACTTTTTCAATATGGCCAATTTATCAATTAAGCCATAATTTATCTACTTTAAGGATTCGCGAATTCGTTCTTAACAGCCATTGTCAATAGCCAGAATTAAGTCGTACAGTTTGGTACTTGCATAAATCACTATTGAATAAGATAGCAAACATATACCGCAACGATTATTGACAAATCAGTTTTTCAGTCCGAGCTACAGATAATCTTTTCCATTCTCTTGCTACGATTTTGGCTTCAACCGGGTAAAATTTTTATTTGCATTCCGGCACTTAAGATAAACAAAAGCGTAAATTTTGCTACAATTCCACAAGCTCTGCGGTCGTTTTGCTATGAACCGCAATTTGTATAAATATTCTTGGCAATTATGTGTAGTAGAGCCCGCACGCATCTTTTAAAATCGAATTGTTGGTTGCCGGAAGATAAACATTAAAAACTCTTGCCTGAAAATTTATGCATTACTGTGATTATTTGAGGTTGACATAGACAAACTTTTAAAGGATATAAAGAGAATTTTTAATGAATTAAAATTTTACATGCTTTTGGTTTAAAGAAGGAATCTTAAATATATTCCTTGGTTATTGTGTTAAAACTTTAATAAATTTACAAGAAATTAGTTTTTAGTGTTGGATAAGTAAGTTTAAAATTTTTAAGATTAACTGTTAATTAAGATAGGTTTTACGTTAAGGAAAGGTTTAATTAAAAAATATAAATTTTTGTGTTGTTATGAAAATTATGTTTTGCGTAAAAATGTATGTCTACTTTAGACTTTAATGGGGGTTTCAATTGTACATATTAGTTTTTTGTTGCATTATAGATCAATAGTTTATTTTCAACGAGTTGAGATCAACCAAACAGTATAAATGTGATAACTTGAATTCCAAATCCTTCCTTGTTGTGAAAGACAGTTGTTAGTTATTTATAAATACACTGCGACACTCATCTCTAGAAAGAGTGTGTGATAGTTGAATGGACCACCAGGAGTTGGTTTGAAGTTTTTACTGTTTCAGACATGTGCGAAAATCATTAAAACTTTTTAGTAATTGACTGGATGCGGCAGCTGGGTGAATGTTACTATAGATGTTTCTGAAGAGGTGGGCAGATAAGTTAAGTTGCGTAGATATTAACTATAGTGTGTATACTGTACTGGTTTGATATTTTCTATAAAATGGTCGTTGTTTACATATGAATCTGAAATTTTATAATATAAGCCGGTCAGATTTGTTTGAGTTTATTAAGCAGTTTATTATACCAGTTACAGTTACAGAAGATTAATTATTTAAGAATTTATATAAATAATAATGTTAATAATATGCACCACTTTTTGTATGCCAATCTGACACACAACAAATATGTTATTGTCAATTTAGATATTAAGTAAAATTTTTGAATTTTTGTAAGTGCTGTACGAATTTCCATGAATCAGTAATAAATAATAATAATAACACCAAAATATTTTAAAAGCTTATGTGATATCGAGAAATGTACATGTGAAGTCTATATTGCAATGCAGTATAAACGGTACAATAAACTGTGCAAATTTTTCAAAGGTACCGTCTCTAAAGTCAAATTGATGGTTCAGTTGTAATCCATTATTAATAATTGTTGATTATAGTTTGTTAAGGATCATGGTTTCAATCACTTCGCTTACTTATTGTAGATGAGTCATAAATCAATATAACGGTCTTTCTTCCAATTATTTACTAGGTTTTGATATAACAATTATTACTAATACTTTTCACTGTAGCGGAAATTAGTTTGTTTTCGTCATATATTTCGCCGTATATAATCAAATTCAGTTAACTCATGCGATATATTCACAGTTATTAAGTTGTAGACCGGAGCTTTATTATTTTATGTATTTGTGATAAGAGCAAGAAATTGATAAATCAGTTTGTTCAAAAATGATAGGTGCATTTAAAAATAATACAGCTAGCTTTTCCTATAACTTCCTATAATTCCTATTTCCTATAAAACATAATCAGCTACTTAAATGTATACAATTCCCATTGTTATTAAAAAAAATTGATCAAGAATCAGCGGGCTATAAGGAAACCTATTGTTTTGTATTTTATATAAATTTTTTTCACTATATAATGAAATGGGAACCCTAAATTAATTTTAATTGGATTCATTGGTTGCAGCTTATTAAATTTTCTCATAATTTCCTTTCTGCCCTTTCCCTATTGTCGCTTCCATTTTTTAACTCCTGAGTCTGGTGGCCATCTTTACTATTTCCTGTCCTGTGCTGTACTTTTGAGTTACGCATTATGTTTTCAAAGGAGGAGGTCAACTTTTGTTCATAAATATTTATTTTACGTTTTCGTTTCTTTTGCGATACTTTTTCATTTTGAACGAAAAGTTCAACCTTGTTCGATGTAATTTATGCGAATTAAATGCATATTTTCGTATTTCGCTTTGCCCCTTCTAACTTTGCTGCCAACTACAAAAGTTATATGAATTAAGGCACCAAAACCAGTGGCTGAAGAAGCGGAAAAACTTTTCCGGTCGCTACGTAAAAGTAAAGATTATGACAGACGACGACAACCGGCCTCTGAAAAGCAAAAATTTCTCCCGAACAATGCGTTTGCAAAGCGAATATACACCCTGAAGTCCACTTTTATGTACGCCATAATTTCTTAAATGATAACAACGTTTAGGTTGCGTTCTCCAAACTTTGCTGCTTTACTCAAAAGATGCTTGAAGTACACTTATAATGCACTTTACTCTGCATTTAATGCTCTAAATAATTCAATTAAGCCCAATTCATAATGTATTCACTTAAGCTACGTTGTACGTACTTTTAAAGTGCATAATTCTTGTATAGATAAAAATATAGCAAAAACTTTATAAAACGCTTTGCATTTGTAAGATTATTATAGTTAAAAAAA